ATGCAAAATAGTTCAGAGACTGAGTCTCAAGGGTATACAGTTCGTATGGAAAGTTTGTTGGAATAGGGATATCAGTGAATTTATTGGGCCACTAAGGGTGAAATGAAAAGCACTTACTTTCATAAAATTGTAGACGGTTTTTAAAATTATGGACTCTGAGTACAATAAATACCTTTTAGATTATCTTAGTTTGCTGGTTATAATCATCTAAACCAGCAGTCCCCAACTTTTCTGGCATTAGGGACTGGTTTCATTCATAGAAGACCATTTTTCCCCAGAGCATGTCGTGGGGGAGGTGTTTCACCTCAGATCATCAGGCATTAGTTAGATGTTCTTAAGGAGCGTGAAACCTAGATTTCTCTCACACACGGTTCACAATGGGGTTCACACTCCTGTGAGAAGCTGGAGCCACCACAGATCTGACGGAGCCCAGGAGGTGATGCTCACTTGCCCACTGTTCATCTCCTGCTGTGGGCCTCGTTCCTAACAGGCTATAGACAGGGTTGGGCACCCCTTACCTAAACCTTAAATTCTCAATGCTCTTTTAGATCTCAAAATTATGTTTTATATTTATATTGATATATTTTGCCTATAAATAACCAGTTCTACAAAATCAGGCCAAGTGATCTGAATACAGATGCTTTCAACTCCACCTGCTCTGGATTCCCCTAATATTGGTTAATATTCGATGGAATGGTCAGCCTGGGATAGCTGCAGAAGTAATGCATGAGCTCTGAGGTTCATGGTCTACCCTTTTTGACCCAATCATTTCATTGAGGTTACACAACCAAATTCTATCTGGTCACAACTGTTCTTGACATTTCAGCTCTTCTTCATGCTATGTGTCCTAAATGTCTTTCTCATTATTCTATTTAGCAAGTTAACCACCTACACCTTATTTCTCTTATCAATTTGCTGTTGAGTCAGTCTATAGATGTTTTGATAAGTTGAAGTTAATATCCTGTGATGCAAATGGGTTTCCCATCTTTATTATGGATACATTAATAAACCACCCCTTCTCTCATATATACCTACCTTGGAGAGTTGTTTCCCAATACAGTGAGGGAGGGCTATGTTAGTGCCTGATTTTGCACAGTGTATACTCTAATATAGAAATATCTGGATTCCAGGTTTTACCAACTTACTACCCAACTATAGCAATTCTATGCTATTTGCTCCAGACCTAAATTAATCTCAGACTCCCTTTAGATGTCACAGCTCTCCATCACCGGTGCAGACATAATTCTGAAGAAAAGGTCATGAGCTTCCTGTAGCAAAACTCAAATAAGTCATCATCATGCTTCCCACGAAGGTCTAGTTCCCAGCCCTCACCTGGTGGACAGCATGGCACCTGGAAAACCATCCAGGCTCCTTTCCATACATGTTATGTTGAGACTGGAGTCCAGAGAACAGAAAGGAAAGAGATTGCCCTTCCTGTACCATGAGGGATCAATCTTATGTTTGTTAAAGTGATCAAGATATATATCCTACAGTTGGGAATACATCATAGGTGATATCCTGCATATATTTCAATGCATAAAATTATATGGACTTTTTTTTTGTACTAAATTGGAGGACGTACACATTAGAAGTGGCCATATGTTCCAATTTCTTTTCTTTTACAAATAAATAAATATATACATAAAATTAATGAGATGTATTTCTTAACACCAAAGGCTTTCACATGTGGAATAAACTATTCCATGAAGCATAAAATATCTTAGAAATAATTGAAGGAAGCAGTTGACAGATATTTAGAGACAAAACATTTGGTTGTAAGATTTACTTGCAAACTACAGGGAGGTTTTTAATCTAAATGGTCATTTGAGTGTCCCCCAGTCCTTGTACATCCTGAAGGATTTTATGGCACCTTACTGCAGAGTACTTGATATCATTTTTGAAGAAATCGTAACATATCAAGTGAGCTACAATGAAACTGTGAAATGCAGACTGCAGTGTTGCTCTGCTGTTGCTCTGTGGCTTCATGATTCATTCATTTTTCCTCTTCTCTTAAGCCATTTGAGGGCTGGTATCTCAGCTCTAAAGTCATGCAGAGAATGGGTGGAAAGAATACAAACGCTTCACTGCAGCCAGATTCAGGCTAGGGCAATTGTTGTCAACACGATGAGGTTGAATGAAATGCAGTGACAGTGTGTAAGGGAAGATGTGTTCTTTATTGCTGTTGGGTCCAGGAATGCCTTACCTTAAGGATAAAACATTAGACAGTATGCTTATCAACACAGCAGCCTGTCATTGCAGTGAGTTACACCTGCAGTTTACGGTAACCAAAGCTGTTGAAGCAATATTGTGTGTGTGTGTATGTGTGTGTGTGTGTGTGTGTGTGCATGCCTGTGCAGGTGCTTTATATCTAATATACATTGTATTTTAACAGACATGCACATATGTGTAAGGAACACATGTACATATGTAAATTTGTGATTTAAAATATTGTGCCAGTATTATTTACAGATTTCTTTCTTCTTAATGTAAGATAAGATATTTGGGATAAATTTTAACAAAGAAAACCAAATTTATTACTAACACAGCTATGACAAACTCATAGGGAATAATTACATGCATGTGTGTATGTATGTATGTGTGTACACACATACATATTCTTTTAATTTGAACTTTGTTTTTAAGTATGTTTGGAATTATTTTAAAGTAATAATATATATTTAAATGTCTAAATAATATGCAGGAGGTCACTATTTGGCCGAAACACTCAAGTTTTATGGGAATGTTACTGTGCTTCCTCTTTTTTAGAGGAGTGCTTTGTCCTTTACAAAATGGACAAACACTCCCACTGTACTGCAGTTCCAGTTCTGTAATCATTTTGGACTTGCTCTTTACCCCACGGTGGCCTCACAACTTGGAGAACTCTCCTACCCACGTGCTGCTTGCCTCGGGAGCTGAGGATCAGTGTCTTACACACAGGATATATGCTCCCATTTATTTTCCACCGACTGTAAATGATTCCTATTCTTTGCTCCACAGAACATCCGATGTGGTGCCCAATCAGCTGAAAAAGCTGCACAGACGTCATTAGTTCTCTGTGTGTGTGTGTGTGTGTGTGTGCGCGCGCGCGTGCATGCGTGTGTGTGTGTGTGTGTGTGTGTGTGTGAAAGAGAGAGAAGGAGAGAGAGGGAGGAGACTGCAGCTGCCTTGCCGCGTGCTGAGTGGAGTCTCCATTAGGGCAGCGCTATTGATTTCTGATTCACATTGCAGCAACAGGGCTAGAGTGCAGGAGAAAAAAAAATCACGTCTCAGAAATAGGAATTAAAAAGACAAAAATAAGTAGATGGCTTTGCACAAAAACCAAGCATCTGTTACTAAAGGAAACCAAAAGTGGCAATTTAGCAAAATTTAAAGACTGTTTATAAATTAGAATAAAATGTATAGGAGAGGTAGAGTGAAATGAGGTTAGAAAAATTATTGGTTCTAATTTTTCAGCATTTTTTTATGCCAGATGATAATGGTCTGATTTCCAGAATGCTTTGAAAAACACTGAAAAATGTGGCAGAGATACTGCAAAGTAAAGCTTATTTGAGGGTGATTTTGAAGCTATGTCTGAGAATTTTAAACAACAAAATATCCAAAATTCATTTTTTTAAAATTGTGTTAGATTATTTTATTAGCTGGTAGCTCTCTCTATTTTATTCTTTGTGTTGCATAATACCTAGGATACAGTCACAGGCTGGTTGCAAATCCTTGAAACAGAAATAGGTTTCTTCATAGGCTGCGTTTCAGCATGTCCAACTGTGAGCCTGTGAAGCACAGCACTGGAGCTCTCTCGAGATCTGTTGCCTCGGATTTGGTTAGAAATTATTAAATCTGGAGGTAAAAATCTTGTCTTGGCCTTTTAGGCAGCTCAATTTTAAAATCAGCCCTTCTGCCCCAAGACTGATCAACCACTCCCACCCTGCCCCAAAAGAAAAACTGAAATAAGTTCAGTTTTAAAATAATGGTGCTGTCAGGCTGGCAGTCTGCATGTGAGCAGCAGAAAATTAGAAGAATAGAATCATCCATTCTCATCTCCTGCCACGACATGCACACACACATACATGCACACGTACACACACGCGCACACACACATGACACCACCAGTCAGTTAAGGGGAAAAAGGGTGATACCTTTTTAAAAAACGAAAGGCAGTAAGCCATTATTAGCAAGAGCTATATTGAGCATGCTTGCCAGACAAGCAGCAAAGCTGAGCTTCAGTTCCGCCCAGACATGTGCCTTGCCATTTCCATTTTAATCAGCCTGCTCAGGATGGCTGCTGATTCATTTTGCAGGATGTCCCCCTGGGAGCCAAGGTGGAAGCCTGAGGCGAGCTGCTATTGCATCAATGCAGCACATCCGAGTGAGAGCGTGGAGGCAGAGGGAGGAGAGAAAGCCTTCAGCACCGCATCCAGATTTCAATATGGCTAGTTAGAAGGTCCTGCCTGAAACCGAGTCTATTGCAGGAAACATAATGAAAGGAACAGAAAAGAAAAAAAGTCACATGTCATTTCATTATCCAACTATTCTCTCCCCCAACCCCTTCCTGCCACCAACACACACACACACACACACACACACACACACACACACGCACATTTTACAGTGACCATGAAAGATTTCAAGCCACTCCGTGGAAGACTGTGTGTGTATGTCATGTGTGTGTACTATTTACCTGGTAACTAGCTGGGGTGGTATACCTGATTTAGCTGGAGACTTTGATTTGTAGGACTGACAACCTTATTATGCAGTGAGTTTATTATTGATATTATTCTGCTCTCGGTTGCCATGGCCACCTTGTGAGAGACATTCAATTTTCTCTCTTCCATCATCATTATCTATGAGGCCATCTGTTGTGGAAAATGAATTCAGCCTCATTTGCATGACTGATAAGCAATTTTTTTTTTATCTATTTAACAGAAGGTCATATGCCGGGGATTTGGAGCTTGTGAAAAAAAAAATGTGGAAAAAAAAAAGCCTAGGAGAGGATGAGTGGGAGTGTGTGCATGGGGGGGTGTGTGGAAGTCAGACAGATCCCTGCGGCCTGCGAGCCTATCGAGCTGCATTTGTCGTTTCTGCCCGGGCGACATTTTTTCTCCCTAAGCTACTGCACACTAAACAGAGTGAGAGAGCTTTTCCCTGCAGCCTTCTTGAAGCCCCCCTGGTTTTTTACTCATTGTTGGTGGGTGTATTTTATTTTTTTCATCCCTGGACTGTGGGTTATGATATCAATATTCACGGAAGACAGAAAGCCACCTTTCCTGCATCTCGGGGGCATGCATGCTCTTCATCACCCTCTCAAACTCGTGGTGGAACAGGGTTTTCTTCTCTGTCTGTGTATTCTGAGCCAGCACAGTTACCAAAATTGAACTTGTCTTTCGTTTGTGAGCGGTTGTGGTCACTGTGAGGTACGTGATGTTCATTAGGTTAATTCTTGGGACTTGGTGAGCAGGGTGTGTGTTTTACCGTAGTTCAAGGGCTTAGATTGCATTTCCATTGTCTGCTCCTTTTTAAACTTATTTTTATAGCATGGCTGCTAGGTGAAATGTTCCTAGACTGGAGGCTTTGTAATCCACAGGAAAATCTGTCTTTCAACTAAAGTGGGTATTAGGTTGCATGACTTAACTGTGATGTTGTTTATTAACAAAAACAAAAACAAAACATGATGCTTGCATAGTGGTGCTTGGGTGATAGGAGGATACTGAAACAAAAACTTCCCAGAGACTTTACCGGATTACTTTGCATTACAAATGAAGCACATCATTTTATCCAAAGGCAATTAAAATGTTAGGTGTTGTTGATGTATTTACCTAATGGTAAGAAGAAAGTTGATTTATATTGTTTAAGAGGAGAAACTCAAATAAAGATTTTTAAATTAAACTTAAATGTTTGAAGTTCATCATAATGAAACAAAATGTTATTTATAACAGAAATATGTCTTTTAGCACCACCTAAATTAATAAACTAAAAGTTTAAACTGTACTTTAGTTTTAAGGTAGATCTGAACAAAGCAAAAATATGTATGTAGATATTTGTGTGAGAGTTAGCTATATAAAATACAGAGAACAGATTTTGAATTTAGTATTAACCATGACAATTTCTTGTACCATCAAAGCTACACAAGCTAAAGAATTTCTAAGTTACTTAGAGTAAAAATATTTTATATAAGAGCCTTTTCCTCCAATGTTTATATTTTTTACTAAACAAAATTAACATCATAGACAAAAGCATCCCAATATCACCCTTACAGGAATATGAGGGTCTTTCTAATTGTTCAACTTCATAAATGTCATGTAGATTTTAAAATAATAAAGTCAAGTGTCCCATACAGATAAAAATGTAATTATTTTAAAAAGAAAAGTGTTTTATACAATATTCATTTTCAGGAAACAATAGCATTGCATTCCTATAAGTTTTTACCTCTCAAGAACTTTGAATCCAAAGTGTTGATTGTAAGTTATAAATGCTACTAAGTGCCACATTCCAGAAGAAAATAAAAAAGAAGTTTGTTTTTCTGATTGACCTAAAGGAACATGTATGATTCTATCACCTCAAATGCAGTAAGGCAATTGTTTAAAAGTCTCCTTAAAGTTAGACTTTAGTGATAAATTTTCTTTATTAATCAGAATAGACTACTGCTTATGTATTTGTGTGATGGCACTTTGCTTGATTGCACTTTTAAAACTCTTGCTACACTATCACACACTTTTCATAAGCAATGGCAGCTGTTATATAATCCTTCTGTTTTTTAATCAGCCATGTTTCTTCATAGTTTACCTTGAGTTTCAGAGAAATGAGTTTACTTTAAATATTAATTTGGCATTTAAAGAATTTAAAACAATAAAATTCTGATAGATTATGAACATTATTTAAAGTGACATTAGCTTTCTCAGAGGACTGAAGTTTAAGCATCAGTAATATGAGATCAGATCTGTAATATAATATGAAGGATTATGTTGTCGCCTTTTGATCTGTATATAAAGTCTTCAGCTTTGTGAATCAAACTTGTCAACATCTACGTAAAATCTGTGAGGGAGCACAATTGATTTTTCCCTCCTCCCCACCCCCACCCCCAAAAAGTTAATTACCAATCTTGGTTGGAGTCTTCCTTGCCTCCCTGACATTTGACTGCTGCTAATTCACTGATTAATCTCATTAATGTGATTATAGTAGGATTTGGAGTTGGCTGCCATTGTTCTGTAGACAGTGCTATTCAGCCTGAGCACTTGCCACCTCATTCAGTTTTGCTGTGATTTTTCAAAGGCTGGTGGAGTGAGCTATTGTGAACAGGCTTCTCTGCCTTCCCTTTCAGCACCAGGAGCTGTCCGCAGCTGATAGCAATTGCATTCAACAGTGACTGACTTCCTCCTAGTTTATTGGTGATGTGAAAATGGCTCACTTTCATCACTTTAATGATTGTGCTAGTTGAGGTAGAGGCAGGGGAAGCCTTGGTGGTCACATCTGGATGTTTTGAAGATGGTGGCAGCAGAGATGTCTATACTTGAAGATTTTTATTTACTAAAGACTTTCGATCTGCCATTACATACACATTTTACTCTATTTCCAAATATTCTAAATAGAATATGTTGAAAATTACTTGTATATATGTATAGGTGTGGGTTGGAAATTTGTAAACATTATGACTTCTCAATTGGAAAATTTTTATCCAAATACATGTAATTATTAATAAAATTCATCTTTGAAAAGATGCACCAGGACTACCTGGTGTCACAGTAAGGCAGAAAACATGCATGACACACAAATTTCAACTTCTCTTGAGTTAAACTCGCATCCAACAACAGAACTTATGCCAATTTCACAAATTTGTGTTAGAAGCTGAGATTAAGGTAAAGGCTCAATAATTTGTGACCACATATGAGTGGTGCACAAAAATTCCTGGAAGAATATGAGTACATAGTCTTCCTTGGGGTTATAAAAGCTGTTAAAGCATGACCTTAGGACTATGTGGACACTTTCAGAGAATGAGACTTCTTTAATGTGTTGTTTTCACTCTCACTGTTACAGTTTTCACTTAATTAATTTATTTTTTACTCTCTTGAAAATATATCTATTTTGTACTTTACTCTTGAATATACCCGATGATCTCACTGCCTGATGTTTTTTGTCTGCTTTCTGTGTCAATGTTTAATAGATTAGGGAAAAGGAATAAGTAATTATGCGATTTGAAAGCTTTGTGAAGTTTTTCTATTTGTCATAATTATACTTAAAATGTAAAACATTGAGTTAATAATCTGATTATTTGTTCAGCTGCTTTTATAAATACTTTACATGTGTAATTTTAGAAAGCCAATTGCTTCTCTGTGAAAAATTAATTTTGTCAAGTAAATAATGTTTTCAAAGTCACATGCATAAACTAGGTTTCCAACTCTACCTGTAAGCCACTCTAATTTAAGGGAGAGAGATTATTTTAAAGATATATAATATATCATCTAAAGTACTTTGTTTACTTGTTATACATTTTAGTGGATACATTTTAACTTCAAACAACTTAAAGGCTTATTTACTCTTAAATATTTTATATTTTAAAAATCCTATTGGTATAATTAGAGGCACTAGTCAGATGCTCTTTGGTAATGTCCACTCTGCCCCACTCTTATAGTTTGGTTTGACTGGGCATCCCTTTTAGACCAGAGCTATAATTTTCAATAAACAACCAGTTTTCCCAATGCACGTTGTCCTTTGCCAGGAAGTCTACCCTGATGCAAAGTCTCCCCAGAACTCTGTTCAGGAGGCAAAGGAATGGTAGACTCAGAAAGGGAGACCTACAGTTTTGCTAAATTCTTATGATCGAATTACTCCATAGCATGATTTGATTGCAATGGCATTATGCATTTTCCTGTTTTCAAGTTTTTAAGAGCTCTTTTTGTGAATATCTCCTTTTTTATTTGAAACACTGTGTAGTATTCCTTAGAAAAAAGTAACTGAAGATAAACTTGAACAAAAACTTGCAAATAAGGTATTTTTCACGAAGCTAAGTTTCATCATACTGCATTCTGTACCACAACACAATACCTGACATTGATCTGCATTTCTTCCTAACTAAACTGAAGACAAAAGATATCACAAACTTGAGGAAGAAAATAGATGTAGATTTGTGTTTGTGTGTGTGTGGTTCGGGGCAGTGCCATATCTACATATCATGGTTGCGGGCATTAAAAAGATATTTTTAATTAGCATATCCTCATGTTTAAAATATTGCCTCTAGTGACCACGACTCATATGAAATAATACAAATATTCCACTTTTACACTAATTTATCTTACAATTTTCCTGATATTAGATTATTTGAAGGCAATAGCTATCCATTTTTTTCCATCAGTGGGCTCTTTTATTGCAATGTGGTTCAGTTTGCAGTATCTTTGTGTCTTGTCTCTTCTCTCTCTCTCCACTTTCCTTTCTCTCTCTTCTATCCTCTCTCTCTTTAGCTCAGGCCCTGCCTGTCTGTTTTGCCACCTTCTCTTATCTCTGTGTCTCTTTCACACCTGCATTGTTCAAGTACACACAATGATCTTTCTATGCATGTTTCCACAATGGAAGTGTTTTTGGCTTTGACATCATAATGAGTCCTCAGGGTATCTGCAGAAGTAATCAGAGATGGTAGAGAAAATGTAAGCCAGGTGTTATAAAACTAGAAAGGGCGCATACATGCTTATTTATTAGACGGAGAAAGACTGATAAGCATTGCTGTGTTGGGTTTTTCTGCTGTGAAAATCTTCCCACCATATACCTCTTTTAAAATAATCTCTGCTCCCCACGTGGTGATTATTGGAAAATTTGGGGGGGTATATTTTAGTCACAGTGTAAGGAGTATTGTGTTGTGAGAAGATGGCACAGTACAGGTCATTCTCTTAAAGCTTTCCTTGCTTTCAGACTGCAGCGGTATCTAGCAGGGCTTGACGGGAAGGGAATTGCAGCCTCTGTAGTAACCAGCAAGTCTGGTCCCAGCACAACAGGGAAGAGCTCAGTCTTCGGAGGAATTACCTCTGAGAGCTGGAAGAGGGTGTTCCTGGTAACTTGGGGCTTGTCCGTCAGTCTCCCCACAGAAACCACAGTCAGCACTGTGCTCTGTGGAAAGCCTGCAGTGGCTGATCCCTTGTGCTGCTCTGCTCTCCACTCTCACTGTGGATAGTGGGCTGGCGGAGTGCGGGCGCCGGAGGGTAGGGGTGAATGGAATGGAAACACAGAGGGAGCTGTGACCAGCACGTGCGATGGTCTCTCCACGGCAGACAGAGCCCTGCGTGTGTGAGAAGCAGACTGCGGAACAGGATTTGGCTTGATGGCCACCAGCTCTTCCACAAAAAGGTACCTCTTTCCTTTTATTGTAAAGGTTGCATAGGATTTTTTTTTTTTTTAATTTGCCCGGTGGCTGCAGCTCTTAGCTCTTCTC